GGGGGTCCTAGGGGGGATTTGGGCGTTCCAGGGGGAATTTGGGGTTTCCAGGGAGAATTTGAGAATTTGGGGGGATCCTGGGTGCGATTTGGGGGAATTTGGGGGTTCCAGAGGAGGATTTGGGAGTTCCAGGGAGAATTTTGGGGGGGTCCTGGGTGGGATTTGGGTGTTCCAGGGGAGAACTGGGGATTCCAGGTGGGGATTTGGGGTTTCCAGGGGGGGATTTGAGGTTTCCAGTGATAATTTGTGGTTTCCGGGGGAGGATTTGGGGTTTCCAGGGAGAATTCGGGATTCTGGGGGGAATTTGGGGTTCCAGGGTGAGAATTTGGGGGTTCCAGGGGGAATTTTTGGTTTCCAGGGTGGGAATTTGGGGGTTCCAGGGTGGGATTTTGGGGTTCGGGGGTCTCTGACTGGAGCCCCCCAAACCCCCACCAGGACCTGGCCCAGTGCGTGAACGAGGTCAAGAGGGACAACGAGACCCTAAAGCAGCTCACGAGCATCCAGCTGTGCCTGCACAACATGGTGGGGACCCCCGGCACCCCCAAATTCCCACAGGACCCCCAAATTCCCCCTGAGACCCATTCCCAATGTCCCGTTCCCGGTGTCCCAATGTCCACCCTGTTCCCGTGTCCCATTCCCGATGTCCATCCCATTCCAATGTCCTTCCTGTTCCCAATGTCCATCCCATTAATTTCTGATGTCCATCCTATTCCCAATGTCCATCCCGTTCCTGATGTCCCAATATGTCCACTCCATTCCCATGTCCCGTTTCCGATGTCCCAATGTCCCATTCCTGGTGTCCCAATGTCCTGTTCCCGTGTCCCATGTCCCAATATCCCAATGTCCATCCCTTTCCTGTGTCCTGTTCCTGATGTCCACCCCGTTCCCATTCCCATGTCCTGTTTCCATGTCCTGTTCCCATGTCCCGTTCCTGATGTCCACCCCGTTCCCATTCCCATGTCCTGTTCGTTCCCATGTCCCGTTCCTGATGTCCACCCCGTTCCCGTTCCCATGTCCTGTTCCCATGTCCCATTCCCGTGTCCCATTCCTGTGTCCTGTTCCCATGTCCTGTTCCCATGTCCCGTTCCCGTGTCCCGTTCCTGATGTCCACCCCGTTCCCATTCCCATGTCCTGTTCCCATGTCCTGTTCCCGTTCCCATGTCCCATGTCCCATGTCCCTGTCCCATTCCCATGTCTCGTTCCCCTGTCCCGTGTCTCTGTCCCATGTTCCATTCCCCTGTCCCATTCCTATGTCCCATTCCCATGTTCCATTCCCCTGTCCCATTCCTATGTCCCATTCCCATGTTCCATTCCCCTGTCCCATTCCTATGTCCCATTCCCATGTTCCATTCCCCTGTCCCATTCCTATGTCCCATTCCCATGTTCCATTCCCCTGTCCCATTCCTATGTCCCATTCCCATGTTCCATTCCCCTGTCCCATTCCTATGTCCCATTCCCATGTTCCATTCCCCTGTCCCATTCCTATGTCCCATTCCCATGTTCCATTCCCCTGTCCCATTCCCATGTCCCATTCCCGCGTCCCATTCCTGTGTCCCGTTCCTGATGTCCACCCCGTTCCCATGTCCTGTTCCCGTGTCCCGTGTCCCGTTCCCATGTCCCATTCCCATGTCCCATTCCCGTGTCCCATGTCCTGTGTCCCGTTCCCATGTCCCATTCCCATGTCCCGTTCCCCTGTCCCGTTCCCCTGTCCCGTTCTCATGTCCCATTCCCCTGTCCCGTTCCCATGTCCCATTCCCGTGTCCCATGTCCCATGTCCCATGTCCCGTGTCCCATCCCCAGCCGCAGTCCCTGGCGCAGTTCGGGCGCCCCAAGATCGACGGGGAGCTGAAGGTCTCCAGCGCCGAGAGACGCTCCAAGGTGGACAGGTGGGCCGGGGACACCTGGGGACACCTGGGGACACCTTGGGGACTTGGGGACGTCTCAGGAACATGGGGACACCTCAAGGACATGGGGACATTCATGGGGACACCTCAGGAACACCTCAGGGACACCTCAGAGACATGGGGACACCATGGGGACACCATGGGGACATCCTTGGGTCCATGGGGACACCTCAGGAACATAAGGACATCCATGGAAACACCTCAGAAACACCTCGGAGACACCTCAAGGAGACATGGAGACATCTATGAAAAGACCTCAGGAACACCTCGGGGACACTTCAGGGACATGGGGACACCTCAGGAACACCTCAGGGACATCTCAGAGACAGGAGGACATCCATGGGGACACCTCAGGGATATGGGGACATCCATGGAGACACCTCAGGAACACCTCAGGGACATCTCAGGGACATGGGGACACCTGGGGACATTGGGGCACCTTGGGGACACCACAGAGATACCTCAAGGACATGGGTACGTCCATGGAGACACCTAAGGAGCACCTCGGGGACATGGGGACACTATGGGGATATGAGAATATCCATGGGGACACCTTGGGGACATCAGGGACATGGGGACACCTCAGGAACATGGGGACATCCATGGAAACACCTCAGGAACACCTCAGGGACACCTCAGAGACATGGGGACATCCATGGAGACACCTAAGGGACACCTTGGGGACACCACGGGGACACGAGAACACCCATGGGGACACTGCAGGGACACCAAAGGACATGAGAAAACAGAGACCTCCCCATGGGGACACCCTTGGGGACACCACAGGGACACCACAGGGACACCACAGGGACACTTGGAGGCCGGTCCAGGTCAGCCGTGGGGACACCCCATGGAGCGTGGTGGCCTCAGGGACGCGGTGCCACCTTTGTCACTGTCCCCAGGTACGGCTTCCTGCTGGACAAGGCCCTGATCATCTGCAAGCGCCGCGGGGACTCCTACGAGACCAAGGACGTGGTGGACCTCCAGTGCCACCAACTGCACGATGGTGACCTCGGAGCCCGCGATGGCAAGAAGGTACTGGGGACACCGTGGGGACGTCAGGGCCTGGGGGACACCGGTGTCCAGGTTCCTCCAGTGCCACTGTCCTCTTCCCAAAGGACCCAGCTGGACACGAGTGTCCAGTTTTGTGGATCCCAGGAACCTGGTCACTGGTGGACACGTGTCCAGTTCCAAGCGGTCCCAGGTGTCCAGATCCTGGTGGTCCCCAGGTCCTCTTCCCGATGACCTCAGAGGTCCAGGTCTGGTGGATCCCAGAATTTTGGTTACTGGGGGTCCCCACATCCAGGTCCCTCGTGGTCCCAAATGTCCAGAGCTGGTGGACCCCAAAACCCTGTTCCCTGGTGGGTCCCCAGATCCTGCTCCCTGATGGACACAGATGTCCAAGGCAGGTGGATCCCAGGTTCCTCTTCTCTGGTGGATCCTCAGATTCTGTTCCCTTGTGGATCCTCGTCTCTGGGGAACCTCAAAACCTCATTCCCTGGTGGATTATCAGATCCTGGTCCCTGCTGGACCCCAAAACCCTGTTCCCTGGTGGGTCCCCAGATCCTGCTCCCTGATGGACACAGATGTCCAAGGCAGGTGGATCCCAGGTTCCTCTTCTCTGGTGGATCCTCAGATTCTGTTCCCTCGTGGATCCTCGTCTCTGGGGAACATAAAATCCCATTCCCTGGTGAATTCCCAGATCCTGGTCCCTGCTGGACCCCAAAACCCTGTTCCCTGGTGGATTCCAAGATTCTGGTCACAGGTGGTCCCAAATGTCCAGATTTGGTGGACCCCAACCGCCTGTTCCCTGGTGGGTCCCCAGATCCTGCTCCCTGATGGACACAGATGTCCAAGGCAGGTGGATCCCAGGTTCCTCTTCTCTGGTGGATCCTCAGATTCTGTTCCCTTGTGGATCCTCGTCTCTGGGGAACCTCAAAACCTCATTCCCTGGTGGATTATCAGATCCTGGTCCCTGCTGGACCCCAAAACCCTGTTCCCTGATGGATTCCCAGATCCTAGTCCCTGGTGGTCCCAAATGTCCAGATTTGGTGGACCCCAAAATCCCATTCCCTGGTGGTTCCCAGGATCCTGCTCCCTAGTGAAGCTCAAAACCCCGTTCCCTGATGGATCCCAGGATCCTGTTCTCTGGTGGTCCTAAATGTTCAGATCTGATGGACCTCAACATTCTGTCCCCTGGTGGATCCCAAGATCCTGGTCCCTGGTGAACCCCAAAACCCCATTCCCTGGTGGATCCCCAAAATCTGGTCCCTGGTGAACTCCAAAACTCCATTCGCTGGTGGTTCCCAAGATCCTGGTCTCTGGTGAACCCCAAAACCCCATTCCCTGGTGGATTCCAGGATCCTTGTCCCTGGTGAACCCCAAAACCCCATTTCCTGATTGTTCCAAGGATCCTGGTCTCTGGTGGACCCCAAAACCCCATTCCTTGGTGGTTCCCAAGATCCTGGTCCCTGGTGGACCCCAAAACCCCATTCGCTGGTGGATTCCAGGATCCTGGTCCCTGGTGAACCCCAAAACCCCATTCCCTGGTGGATCCCCAAAATCTGGTCCCTGGTGAAACCCCAAAACCCCATTCCCTGGTGGATTCCAGGATCCTTGTCCCTGGTGAACCCCAAAACCCCATTTCCTGATTGTTCCAAGGATCCTGGTCTCTGGTGGACCCCAAAACCCCATTCCTTGGTGGTTCCCAGGATCCTGGTCCCTGGTGGACCCCAAAATTCCATTCCCTGGTAGTTCCCAAGATCCTGGTCCCTGCTGGACCCCAAAACCCCATTCGCTGGTGGATTCCAGGATCCTGGTGCCTGGTCGACCCCAAAAACCCATTCCCTGGTGGATTCCTAGATCCTGGTCCCTGGTCAACCCCAAAAACCCATTCCCTGGTGGATCCCCAAAATCTGGTCTCTGGTGAACCCCAAAACCCCATTCCCTGGTGGATTCCAGGATCCTTGTCCCTGGTGAACCCCAAAACCCCATTTCCTGATTGTTCCAAGGATCCTGGTCTCTGGTGGACCCCAAAACCCCATTCCTTGGTGGTTCCCAAGATCCTGGTCCCTGGTGGACCCCAAAATTCCATTCCCTGGTAGTTCCCAAGATCCTGGTCCCTGGTGGACCCCAAAACCACATTTGTTGGTGGATTCCAGGATCCTGGTCCCTGGTGGACCCCAAAACCCCATTCGCTGGTGGATCCCCAAAATCTGGTCCCTGGTGGACCCCAAAACTCCATTCCCCGGTGGTTCCTGGGATGCTGGTCCCTGGTGTCCACCCCAAAACCCCATTCCCTGGTGGTTCCCAAGATCCTGCTCCCTGGTGGAAGCCAAAATTCCATTTCCTGGTGGATCCCAAGATCCTGGTGGACCCAAAACCTCATTCCCTGGTGGTTTCCTAGATCCTGGTCCCTGGTGTCCACCCCATAACCCCATTCCCTGGTAGATCCCCAAAATCTAGTCCCAGGTGCACCCTGGTGTCCACCCCACCACTCAGTCACCCCAGGAGGGTGGGGTGTGACCCCAATATCCCCAATTCCACGTGGCCCCGCCCCATTTGGGGGGCGTGGCTGACCCCTCCCCACCCCGCAGTGGTCCCACACCTTCATGCTGCTGGACACGGCCGGGCTGCCGGACTACGAGCTCTTCTTCAAGACGCACGAGCTGAAGAAGAAGTGGCTGGAGCAGTTCGAGATGGCCCTGTAGGTGGCCCTGTCCCCACCGAGGAGGTCACACCCGCCCCACCGGGTGGTCCTGGGGACGCCCAGTTTGTCCCCACCAGACCCAGGTCCTCCCCGTGTCCGGCAGGTCCAACATCTTCCCCGAGCACGCCCTGGCTGACGGACACGACTTCCAGATGTTCTCCTTCGAGGACACCACATCCTGCAAGGCCTGCCAGATGTTGCTGAGGTAGGACCCCAAAATCATGTCCACATGGTCCTGCGGGGGTTGGGAGAGGGGTTTGGGGGGCTCTAGAAGAGGAGGAGACCCCAGGGTTGGAGGTGCGGTGAGGTCAGGGTGAGTCGTGTCCTTGGGGTGGGTCAAGGTGGAAGTTGATGATGGAGGGGCTGGTGGGGTCATGGGAAGGTCAAGGTCAATGTGGGTCAAGCCTTGGAGGGTGGTCAAGGGCTGGGGGGGTCAAGGAGCTCCTTGGGGGTCAAGCTCTGAGTGGCCCCAAGGTGGGACAAGGTTGGGTTGGAGCCAAGGTGGGTCAATGTTGAGTGGAGGCCAAAGTGGGTCAATGGCTGGGTAGAAAACAACAAGGTGGGTCAAGACCAAGGTGGGTCAAGGTTGGGTGGGAAACAACAAGGTGGGTCAAGACCAAGGTAAGTCAAGGTTGGGTTGGGGTCAAGGTGGGTCAATGTTGAGTAGAGGCCAAAGTGGGTCAAGGTTGGGTGGGGGCCAAGACGTCAAGGCGGGTCAGTGGTTGGGTAGAAAACAACAAGGTGGGTCAAGGCCAAGGTGGGTCAAGGGTTGATTGGAGGTCAAGGCCAAGGTGGATCAAGACCAAGGTGGTCCAGGCCAAGGTGGGTCAAGGTTGGGTGGAGGTCAAGGCCAAGGTGGGTCAAGGGTTGATTGGAGGTCAAGGCCAAGGTGGATCAAGACCAAGGTGGTCCAGGCCAAGGTGGGTCAAGGTTGGGTGGAGGTCAAGGCCGAGGTGGGTCAAGGCCAAGTGGGTCAAGGCCAAGGTGGGTCAAGGTTGGGTGGAAGCCAAGGTGGGTCAAGGCTGGGTAGAGATCAAGGCCGAGGCAGGTCAAGACCAAGGTGGGTCAAGGTTGGGTGGAGATCAAGAGGTCAAGGTGGGTCAGTGGTTGGGTAGAAAACAACAGGGTGGGTCCAGGCCAAGGTGGGTCAAAGGTTGGTTGGAGGTCAACGCCAAGGTGGGTCAAGACCATGGCAGGTCAAGGTTGGGTGGAGGTCAAGGCCAAGTGGGTCAAGGTTGGGTGGAAGTCAAGGTGGGTCAAGGTTGGGTGGAGGTCAAGGCCAAGGTGGGTCAAGGCCAAGGTGGGTCAAGATCGGGTGGAGGTCAAGGCCGAGGTGGATCAAGGGTTGGTTAGACATCAAGGTTGAGGTGGGTCAAGCCCAAGGTTGGCTGGAGGCCAAAGTAGGCCAAGCCCTGGGTGGGCCAAAGCCAAGGTGAGACCCTCCTGGTTGGATTGATGCTGGTGGGACCAACTTGGGCCAAGACCCAGGTGGGTCAAGGGCTGTGCTGGCCAACCTGGGTGGGCCAAGGACTGGTCAGTCCTGGACAGGCTCAGGTCAGCCATGGACTGGTCAGTCCTGGACAGGCTCAGGTCAGTCATGGACTGGTCAGTCCCAGGTGGGCTCAGGTCAACCATGGACTGGTCAGTTCTGGACAGGTTCAGGTCAACCATGGACTGGTCAGTTCTGGGTGGGCTCAGGTCAGTCCTGGACTGGTCAGTCAGGGACTGGTCAGTCCTGGGCAGGCTCAGGTCAGTCATGGACTGGTCAGTCCCAGGTGGGCTCAGGTCAGGCAGGGACTGGTCAGTTCTGGGCAGGCTCAGATCAATCATGGACTGGTCAGTCCTGGGTGGCCTCAGGGGGGTGTGGGGCACGGCTGGTGGTGTCCCCTGTGACCGTGACCCCGTGTCCCCCCCGTGTCCCCAGGGGCACCTTCTACCAGGGCTATCGCTGCAGCCGCTGCCGAGCCCCCGCCCACAAGGAGTGCCTGGGACGCGTGGGGACCTGCGGGAAAGCCGGAACTGGTGAGTGGCATCATGGGATTGGGGAGGGGCATTGTGGGATTGAAGAGGAGAGAAACAGTGGATGGGGGCAGGAGGGTAATGGGGAAGGGAGAGGCATTGTGGGATACAAGATGGCTGACACTGAGTAGCATAGGATACAAAATGGCTGCCACAGCACAGGGCATTGTGGTATACAAGATGGCTGACAGAACAGGGCATTGTGGTATACAAGATGGCTGACAGAACAGGGCATTGTGGTATACAAGATGGCTGACATTAGGCATTATGGAATACAAGATGGCTGCCAAAGCAGGGAATTGTGGGATACAAGATGGCTGACAAAGCAGGGCATTGTGGGATACAAGAAGGCTGACACTGAATGGCATAGGATTCAAAATGGCTGCCACAGAACAGGGGATTGTGGGATACAAAATGGCCAACAATGAGCTTGTAATTGGTGGGATACAAGATGGCTGACACAGCATTACGGAATACAAGATGGCTGCCAAAGCAGGGAATTGTGGGATACAAGATGGCTGACACTGAATGGCATAGGATACAAAATGGCTGCCACAGAGCAGGGCATTGTGGTATACAAGATGGCTGACAGAACAGGGCATTGTGGTATACAAGATGGCTGACATTAGGCATTATGGAATACAAGATGGCTGCCAAAGCAGGGAATTGTGAGATACAAGATGGCTGACACAGAATGGCATAGGATACAAAATGGCTGCCACAGAACAGGGCATTGTGGGATACAAAATGGTCGACATTGGGCTGGTAATTGGTGGGATACAAGATGGCTGACACAGCATTACGGAATACAAGATGGCTGCCAAAGCAGGGAATTGTGGGATACAAGATGGCTGACACTGAATGGCATAGGATACAAAATGGCTGCCACAGAACAGGGCATTGTGGGATACAAAATGGCCGACATTGGGCTGGTAATTGGTGGGATACAAGATGGCTGACAGAGCAGGGAATTGTGGGATACAAGATGGCTGACACTGAATGGCATAGGATACAAAATGGCTGCCACAGAACAGGGCATTGTGGGATACAAAATGGCCGACATTGGGCTGGTAATTGGTGGGATACAAGATGGCTGACAGAGCAGGGAATTGTGGGATACAAGATGGCTGACACTGAATGGCATAGGATACAAAATGGCTGCCACAGAACAGGGCATTGTGGGATACAAAATGGCCGACATTGGGCTGGTAATTGGTGGGATACAAGATGGCTGACAGAGCAGGGAATTGTGGGATACAAGATGGCTGACACTGAATGGCATAGGATACAAAATGGCTGCCACAGCACAGGGCATTGTGGTATACAAGATGGCTGACAGAACAGGGCATTGTGGTATACAAGATGGCTGACATTAGGCATTATGGAATACAAGATGGCTGCCAAAGCAGGGAATTGTGGGATACAAGATGGCTGACAAAGCAGGGCATTGTGGGATACAAGAAGGCTGACACTGAATGGCATAGGATTCAAAATGGCTGCCACAGAACAGGGGATTGTGGGATACAAAATGGCCAACAATGAGCTTGTAATTGGTGGGATACAAGATGGCTGACACAGCATTACGGAATACAAGATGGCTGCCAAAGCAGGGAATTGTGGGATACAAGATGGCTGACACTGAATGGCATAGGATACAAAATGGCTGCCACAGAACAGGGCATTGTGGGATACAAAATGGCCGACATTGGGCTGGTAATTGGTGGGATACAAGATGGCTGACAGAGCAGGGCATTGTGGGATACAAGATGGCTGACACAGATCATTATGGAATACAAGATGGCTGACAGAGCAGGGCATTATGCTCAGCCCTAATTACCCCAGCACTAATTAGGGGAGGGGCTAATTACCATAATATTATTAGGGGATGGACTAATTACTCCAACATTAATTAAGACAGAAGCGAATTATCCCATTATTAATTAAACAAAATTCCTAATTACTCCATCACTAATAAGTTGTGAGCTAATTACCCCTCATTAACTAAAGAACGATCTAATTACCTCATTACTGATTAAGCAAACCCCTAATTACCCTTCCCTAATTAATTTCTCCCCCCAGATCCCGGATCGGGCGCACGGAAGGTACCAAAACTGCCAAAAACGGGGGAGGATTCCTCGGGATGAACCAAAAGCCCCGGATTTTAGGGGGGTTTTTTTGGGGGGCGGTCCCCGGGGATCTCTGGGGGGTCCCCAGGGGTCCCCGGGGGGGGGTCCAGGCCCCTCCCAGCCCCCCCAAATCCTCCCCACTCACGGGGGTCTCCTTCTCCCCCTCCCCCCTCCAGAACAAATCGCAGCGGCCGGGACCCGACAAGAAACGGGGGGAGCTGGGTGAGGAATTTGGGGGTCCTGACCCCCCCCAGATGAAATTTGGGGGGTCTTGACCCCCCAGTTCAAATTTGGGGGTCCTGATCCCCCTCCCAGTTCAAATTTGGGGGGTTCTGACCCCCCTCAAGGACAGATTTTGGGGGGGGTTGGGGGGTCTTGACCCCCCCACTTCAAATTTTGGGGGTCCCAACCCCCTCCACTTAAAATTTGGGGGTCCTGACCCCCCGAGTTGAAATTTAGGGGGTCACGACCCCCCCAGGACAGTTTTTGGGGGGGTTTGGGGGGTCGTGACCCCCCCAGCTCAAATCTGGGGGTCCTGATCCCCCTCTGCTCAAATTTGGGGGGTCCCTGGAGGTTTTTAGCCCCCCAAAATCCATTTTTGGGGTTCCAGGGGGGGTTTTGACCCCCCAAATCCATTTTTGGGGGGTTTTGACCCCCCAAAATCCATTTTTTGGGGGTTCCAGGGGGGGTTTTGCCCCCCCAAATCCATTTTTTGGGGGTCCTGGGGGTGTTTTGCCCCCCCAGATCCTTCTTGGGGTGTTTTTGACCCCCCAAAATCCATTTTTTGGGCTCCTGGGGGACTTTGCCCCCCCAAATCCTTCTTGGGGTGTTTTTGACCCCTCCCCAAATCCCTTCAGGGGGGGGTTTTAGCCCCCCAAATCCAATTTTGGGGTCTCTGGGGAAGTTTTGACCCCCCCCAAATCCCTTGGGGGGGTTTTGAGCCCCCCAAATCCATTTTTGGGGGTTTTGACCCCCCAAAATCCATTTTTTGGGGGTCCCGGGGGGGTTTTGCCCCCCCAAATCCTTCTTGGGGTGTTTTTGACCCCCACAAATCCATTTTTGGGGGTCCTGAGGAAGTTTGGACCCCCCCCAAATCCCTTCTGGGGGGCTTGACCCCCCAAAATCCATTTTTTGGGCTCCTGGGGGACTTTGCCCCCCCAAATCCTTCTTGGGGTGTTTTTGCCCCCTCCCCAAATCCCTTCAGGGGGGGGTTTTAGCCCCCCAAATCCATTTTTGGGGGTTTTGACCCCCCAAAATCCATTTTTTGGGGGTCCCGGGGGGGTTTTGCCCCCCCAAATCCTTCTTGGGGTGTTTTTGACCCCTCCCCAAATCCCTTCAGGGGAGGTTTTAGCCCCCCAAATCCAATTTTGGGGTCTCTGGGGAAGTTTTGACCCCCCCAAATCCCTTGGGGGGGGTTTGAGCCCCCCAAATCCATTTTTGGGGGGTTTGACCCCCCAAAATCCATTTTTTGGGGGTTCCAGGGGGGGTTTTCCCCCCCAAATCCTTCTTGGGGTGTTTTTGACCCCCTCCCCAAATCCATTTTTGGGGTGTTTTTGAACCCCCCCAAATCCATTTTTTGAGGTCCGGGTGGGTTTTGACCCCCCCCCAAATCCATTTGGGGGGGTTTTGACCTCCCAAAATCCATTTTTTGTGGTCCTGGGGAAGTTTTGACCCCCAAAAAATCCATTTTTTGGGGTTCCAGGGAGATTTTGCCCCCCCCTTAAAGGGGGGAAACGCCAAAAATGAGGGGGGGGTCCAATAATGGAGGGGCTCCTAAAATGGGGATGGGACCCCTGAAATGGGGTTGGGACCCCACCCCAAATTATTGGGGGGCTCGGGGGGGAGTCTCCCCTACCCCTTTGGGGGTCTCGGGACCCCCCTGGACCCCCCAAAATTTCTCCCCCAATCCTTGTAAGTGTCCCAAAGCACCCCAAAAACCACAAAAGAGCCCCCAAAATTTGGGGGAGACCCCCGGGAATTTATAGGGGACCCCACCCCCAAATTCGTGGGGGTCTCCCCCACCCCTTTGGGGGTCTCGGGACCCCCCTGGACCCCCCAAAATTTCTCCCCCAATCCTTGTAAGGGTCCCAAAGCACCCCAAAAACCACAAAAGAGCCCCCAAAATTTGGGGGACACCCCTCGGAATTTGGGGGGACCCCACCCCAAATTCGTGGGGGTCTCCCCCACCCCTTTGGGGGTCTCGGGACCCCCCTGGACCCCCCAAATTTCGCCCCCAGGGTCGGAACGTGGTCAGCGGGGAGCTGGGCTGGTTCCCCAGCAGCGCCGTCAAACCTTTCGTGGCCGTAAGTTTGGGGGAACCCCCCAAAAAAAGACCCCCCAAAATTTTTTTGGGGGGATCCCCGAATTTGGGGAGGGGGTCTGGGGTGTTTGGGGGGTGATTTGGAGCCCTCCGAACCCCAATTTTGGGGTTTATTTCTGTTTTTTTGTCGCAGGCGCCGCTGCCGGATCTCTCTGTGTACCCATGGTCAGTGCGGGGACCCCAAAATTCGCGCCTGAACCCCAAAATTCTGCCCTGAAAACCCAAAATTCACACCCGGGACCCCAAAATTCAAAGCTGGGACCCCAAAATTTGCGCCTGGGACCCCAAAATTCGCACCTAAAATCCCAAAATTCACAGCGAGGACCCCAAAATTTGTACCTGAATGTCCCTAAATTCTGCCCTGAAAACCCAAATTTTGCACATGGGACCCCAAAATTCAAAGCTGGGACTCCAAAATTCACACCTAAGGCCCCAAAATTCTACACCTGGGACCCCAAAATTCACACCCGGGACCCCAAAATTTGCACCTGGAACCACGAAATTCTGCCCTGAACCCCAAAATTCTGCCCTGAAAACCCAAAAATTCCACTCTGAAAACCCCAAATTCTGCCCTTAACCCCAAAATTCGGACCAAAAACCCCAAAATTCTGCCCTGAAAACCCAAAATTCACACCCGGGACCCCAAAATTCAAAGCTGGGACCCCAAAATTTGCACCAAAACCCCCAAAATTCTGCCCTGAAAACCCAAAATTTCTACTCTGAAAACCAAAAAATCTACTCTAAAAACCCCAAATTCTGCCCTTAACCCCAAAATTCGCACCAAAAACCCCAAAATTCTGCCCTGAAAACCCAAAATTCACACCCGGGACCCCAAAATTCAAAGCTGGGACCCCAAAATTTGCACCAAAACCTCCAAAATTCTGCCCTGAAAACCCAAAATTTCTACTCTGAAAACCCCAAAATCTACTCTGAAAACCCCAAATTCTGCCCTTAACCCCAAAATTCGCACCAAAAACCCCAAAATTCTGCCCTGAACACCCAAAATTTGCACGTGGGACCCCAAAATTCACACCCGGGACCCCAAAATTCAAAGCTGGGACCCCAAAATTTGCACCAAAACCTCCAAAATTCTGCCCTGAACACCCAAAATTTGCACGTGGGACCCCAAAATTCACACCCGGGACCCCAAAATTTGCACCTAAAAGCCCAAAATTCTGCCCTGGGTCGCCCAAAATTTGCGCCTAAAAACCCAAAATTCGCACGTGGGATCCCAAAATTCGCACGTGGGATCCCAAAATTCGCACGTGGGATCCCAAAATTTGCACCTGGAACCACGAAATTCTGCCCTGAACCCCGAAATTTGCACCTGAAAACCCAAAAATTCTGCCCGGGACCCCAAAATTTGCCTGTGAGACCCCAAAATTCTGCCCTGAAAACCCAAAAATTCTGCCCTGAACACCCAAAATTCAAAGCTAGGACCTCAAAATTTGCACCTGGGACCCCAAAATTTGCACGTGGGACCCCAAGGGGACACCTTGGGACATCAAAATTTGGCCTGAACCCCCAAAAATGCTGCCCTGAACCCCAAAATTTCCGCCTGGGACCCCGAAATTCTCACGTGGAGCCCTAAATTCGCACCCGGGACCCCCAGATTCTGTCCTGAAAACCCAAATTCGCACCTGGGATCCCGAAATTTGCGCCTGAACCCCAAAATTCTGCCCTGAATCCCCAAATTCCCTCCCCCTCCATCCCTCTCTGTCCTGGTTTTGGGGTCACACTCCCCCCTGGAGCTGGGGGAGGGTCCCGGGTGGGGTTTTTGGGGTCCCAGGTTTGGTTTTTGGGGTCCTGGATGTTGTTTTTGGGGTCCCGAGTGGGGTTTTGGGGTCCCAGGTTTGGTTTTTGGGGTCCCGGGTGGGGTTTTTGGGGTCCCGGGTTTGGTTTTTGGGGTCCCGGGCTTGGTGGACACCTTGGGGACACCTTTGGGGACACCTTGGGGACATCTGGGGGACATTGGGGACACTGGGGACGCCTTGGGGACACCTTGGGACATCTGGGGGACACCGGGGACACCTGGGGACACCTTGGGACATCTGGGGACACCTGGGGGACATTTGGGACACCTTGGGGACATTGGGGACACTTTTAGGGACATTACAGGGACACTTCTGAGGTCACAGGGACAACTTAGGGACACCTGGGGGGACACTGGGGACACCTTTGGGGGCATTGGGGACACCCTGGGGACACCTGGGGGAAAACGGAGACACCTGGGAACATTGTGGGGACATTGCGGGGACACTTTTGGGGTCATAGGGACACCTGGGGACACCTTGGGGACACCTTGGGAACAGCTGGGGACATTGTAGGGACACTTCTGGGGTCACAGGGACACCTTGGGGACACCTTGGAGACACTTGGGGGACACCTGGGGACATTTGGGGACACTTGGAGACACTTAGGGATTGTGGGGACACCTTTGGGGACACTGGGGACACCTGGGGACACCTTGGGGACACCTTGGGGACACCTTGGGGACACCTAAAACAGCCCGGGCACCCCAAAATCTCCATGGGGGACCCCAAAAACAGCCCGGGCACCCCAAAAACACCCCGAGGGCACCCCAAAAACAGCCCGGGCACCCCAAAAACACCCCGAGGGCACCCCAAAAACAGCCCGGGCACCCCAAAATCTGCATGGGAGACCCCAAAACACCCCGGGGACCCCAGAAATACCCGGGGACCCCAAAATCCTCCTAAAAACACCCTGGGGGGACCCCAAAAACCACCGGGGACACCCCAAAATCTGCATGGAGAACCCCAAAAACACCAGGAGAACCCAAAAACACCCCGGGGACCCCAAAATCCACCTAAAAACACCCGGGGGGACCCCAAAAACACCCCGGGGGGACCCCAAAAACACCGGGCACCCCAAAACCAGCCTGGGCACCCCAAAACCACCCGGGGCACCCCAAAACACCCCGGGGAGTCCAAAAACTGGGGACAGTTTTGAGTTTTTGGGGTCGCTGACCCCGCTTTGGGGGTGGATTTTGGGGATTTTGAGGTCGCTGATGCCCTTGGGGTCGGTTTTGGGTCCCTTTGAGGCGGTTTTTGGGGTCGCTGACTGTTCTGGGGACAGATTTGGGGTCACTGACCTTTCTGGGGACAGTTTTGAGTTTTTGGGGTCACTGATCCCCCCCCCTTTGGGGCAGTTTTGGGGTCCCTTTGAGGTGGTTTTTGGGGGTTTTGGGGTTGCTGACCGTTCTGGGGGCAGTTTTGATTTTTTTTGGGGTCACTGAGCCCCCTTTGAGGTGGCTTTTGGGGTCGCTGATCCCCTCGGGGTCGGTTTTGGGGTCACTAACCTCCCTTTGAGGTGGTTTTTGGGATCTCTGACCATTCTAGGGACAGATTTGGGGTCGCTGACTGTTCTGGGGACAGATTTGGGGTCACTGACCGTTCTGGGGGCAGTTTTGAGTTTTTGGGGTCCCTGATCCCCCTCTGGGGTCAGTTTTGGGGTCCCTTTGAGGTGGTTTTGGGGGGTTTTGGGGTCGCTGACCCCCGCTCTGGGGCGGTTTTGGGGGTTTTTGGGGTCTCTGATCCCCTCAGGGTTAGGTTTGGTGTCCCTTTGAGGTGGTTTTTGGGGTCGCTGACCATTCTGGGGCCAGTTTTGGGGTCCCTTTGAGGTGTTTTTTGGGGGTTTTGGGGTCGCTGACTGTTCTGGGGCAGTTTTGAGTTTTTGGGGTCACTGATCCCCCCCCCTTTGGGGCAGTTTTGGGGTCCCTTTGAGGTGGTTTTTGGGGGTTTTGGGGTCGCTGACCATTCTGGGGGCAGTTTTGATTTTTTGGGGTCACTGAGCCCCCTTTGAGGTGGCTTTTGGGGTCGCTGATCCCCTCGGGGTCGGTTTTGGGGTCACTAACCTCCCTTTGAGGTGGTTTTTGGGATCTCTGACCATTCTAGGGACAGATTTGGGGTCGCTGACTGTTCTGGGGACAGATTTGGGGTCACTGACCGTTCTGGGGGCAGTTTTGATTTTTTGGGGTCCCTGAGCCCCTTTTGAGGGGGCTTTGGGGGTCGCTGATTCCTCGGGGTCGGTTTTGGGGTCACTAACCTCCCTTTGAGGTGGTTTTTGGGATCTCTGACCATTCTAGGGACAGATTTGGGGTCGCTGACTGTTCTGGGGCAGTTTTGAGTTTTTGGGGTCACTGATCCCCCTTTGGGGGCGGTTTTTGGGGTTTTTGAGGTCGCTGATCCCCTTTGGGGGTGGTTTTTGGGTCCCTTTGAGGTGGTTTTTGGGATCTCTGACCATTCTAGGGACAGATTTGGGGTCGCTGACTGTTCTGGGGCAGTTTTGAGTTTTTGGGGTCACTGATCCCCCTTTGGGGGCGGTTTTTGGGGTTTTTGAGGTCGCTGATCCCCTTTGGGGGTGGTTTTTGGGTCCCTTTGAGGTGGTTTTTGGGGGTTTTGGGGTCGCTGACCGTTCTGGGGGCAGTTTTGAGTTTTTGGGGTCGCTGACCCCTCTCTGGGGTGGTTTTGGGGGTTTTTGGGGTCGCTGATCCCCTTTGGGGGTGGTTTTTGGGTCCCTTTGAGGTGGTTTTTGGGGGTTTTGGGGTCGCTGACCGTTCTGGGGCCAGTTTTGAGTTTTTGGGGTCGCTGACCCCCCCTCGGGGGCGGTTTTTGGGGTCCCCCAGGAGCTGGTGGAGTTCTACCGGCGGAACTCGCTGCGGGATTGCTTCAAGGCGCTGGACACGACGCTGGCCGTGCCCTACAGGGACCCCGAGAGCCGCACGGGACCCCGCGAGCCCCGTACGGGATCGGGGCCGCCACCGCGGGCGGGGGGTCTGGGGTCGCCCTGAGGGGGGATTTGGGGTTATGGGGT